GGATTTAATTATCTTTATGGTTAATAGCTACGATCAATACAATATAAGATCATACGTCAACTACAGGGGGGCGTCACATATTAGCAGATCGAAAATATAGCTGTCACTTAATTTTTCGAGGTCATCATTGCGAGTTATTCACATCGTTTCATGTGATTCTTCGTGAAGCTCATTAATTGTAAACAAAAAAAAAATTTGATTTACCCGATATTCACCAGATTCATTCTTTCATTGTATGAATTAATATTAAGATTCTCGTTATCGATTACCGTATAATCCATTCTTTGATTTGCCCTTGTCTTTTTTTTTTATAGAAATTATGAAGTTATTCAAATTCATGTAATAGAAAAGGTTCTTTGAGCTTTTCAAGAAACTTTTTTCATGTTCTAGTGTTTGAAATAAATTTATGGATAGGTAACTAAAGATTTAAAAATTAAACAAGTTTTAATAGAACACGCTTATCTTACTGAAATATATGAGATACCTACAAATAAGAAACTTATGAATCGAAAAAATTCTGCTCTTTCTATTTTAGATTTTATTTGAAATAGTGCAGCAAATCGCTTGATTGTTGTGAGACTCTTTAATTCGATTCATTACGTATTAATTTAATTAAAATTTCATGTGCATCATTTCCAGCAATATTAGAAATGTGACCAAGAACTTGTATTTATTCTTGTCCCGTGGTTGTAATTAGAATTCACTGATGATAATGGGAATTGATTGAAATAAGATGATTCATATTATAAATAAAAGCATATGTTAGGAATTCGTCTTGGAAAAGAACAGGACCAAATTTTTATTAGAATTGAAGTTGGTGCATCTCTGGATATTATTATTCCTTAAACTTGCTCTTTGTAGAATTGAATTATTTGACGATACATTCTAGGCTGAGAAGACAGCTGAATCAACATTAAACAAAGTATTCTTAAAAATAAAATAATAAATGCACATTTCACTCGTACATATTTAGAGTTCTTTGTAGAATATTTAATACAAAGACTACACCATTCCGATATACGATTCAAAATCTTTACACAGATGCTTAGATTTCCCTTGCTCAAGTCGGGAAGGTAGCGCTGTTGTAGTTTGAATATTTCTAAGTATTATTTATTTTAGAAGTAATTATTGACTAATTGAATAATGATTGATGCTCTTTTTGAATCAGTTTTTTGTCTAGTTGTCAGAGTGCTTAATTAAACATGGAAATCGTACTTGAACAGTCTTGATTGACATCTCTTGACAACTTTACCGATCTCAAAGTTTTAATTGTTTTGTGCAAATATTTATTACAGATACTCTCGAAAATAGTTCTTTATTAATGTTATTTGAAAAGCAATGACGGTGTCTAGATCGCCGTACTACAAGGTGTTCCATGGAGTAGAATAATTTCAAATTCATTCTTTTGTCTTCGAGTATGACACTTGTGAAATATTGATGTGGTATCATACAGATGCTATTGGATCAATCGAGAAGACAAAGACCGCATTTTTTGAACTTTCACTCTATAACTTATTGAATCAGCAGGATAGTGACTCTAACTTTCAATACAACAGACTTCGAGAACTATATGGAATTTTTCAAATAACATTCAATACAGTATTTCTGATCATCAATTGAAACAGTCACTAATAAACTACTTATGATCATGATCATAATTTTATCAGAAAGAAAAGAATCATCGGGCTTTTCTATGGCAGGGTGATTCGAGGAACATTATAAAATTCGAGCTCTTGCTTGATTGTGATCAGTGTTCATCGAGCTCTACTAGTGATTATCAATGAATAAATTCTCGTTAAATTTTCATATCTACATATTTGCTGAATAAAGATTATTTCAAACCAGCTAATAAGTTTGATGTAGTTTGCTATTGCTTATCATCTATCTCATCCACCGTACGTAATCGACATTCATCTATTCGACTTTTTTCACTGAGTTAATTTCAATAGTGCGATGTTCATAAGCAAAACATTGAGTCAATTCGTGATAAGAAAAAATAACATTCTTTGAATGAAATCATCGTTCGTTTGTTAAAAACAAAAACAATATCTCGAGAACGAGTGTCTTTTCTTTTTAACCTTGTCGATGTAAAAAATGTAGTCTTTAGCTGCTCATACCCATTATAATGCCGAAACAAAAGCTTGTAAACAATGACAATAACATTTGTTCTATTATGCTTTTTTTCGTTTCCTCATCTTTTCCTGATCACGAAGCGTTCGTTCTTTTGTCGATCTTCAATACAAACTCGCATCATCTAGACTCTTGCAATGTAAGATAAAATATCCTTCAGTAAGAAATTAAACACACTTCTATAGCAACCGACAAAACAAGTATCCTCAAAAGTAAGAAGCAATCTCTCTTCGAGAAGATGTACAAATTTCTTTCACCAATCGTGTCCCCAACAAGTATTCATTTATTCATTATTGGTGGATATGAGTTTTACTTATGGTGTAGGTGAAGAGAAGATAACATCAACGTCTTCATCCACGTCCCTTTATTTTTTTTTTCTCTAATTTATCGCTCGTTCTATTCAGTGATATTTGTCTCACTATATAATAGCTACAACATGGACGATACAAAAAAGTGTTAATTTAGTAGATCTTTGCTAAAAATTGAATAGTACGGATTCCACTGTATCGCCTGAAACATCTTATTCAAACCTGTATTTCTTCATAAAATTATTGTCGTTACAACTTTTTACTGCCATAATCATTTTGAAAACTCATGAACTTATTGTCAAAAGTTTTATGATAGCTAATGAGTCTTCATTCTTTCACTGCATCATTACAATAGACTGTATGATTAAAACCAACAAAAACAAATATAGTGATAATTGAACAAGAAAAATCACCAAAGAAAACTTCCGTTTCAATAAAGAAGCTTTCTCATTGAATAACATCCAATCATTTATTTAGGCTTTCAGTTTAACGATACATATAACTCTATGTGCGACACACAATATAGGCTGCAAAATCTCATTGAAAATAGTTACTTCTCTAAAAATGACATTCACGTATAATGGAATCAGTATAGATACCATGAGGCAGATCTTGCCAGCTATTCTTTCTACGTGGCAAGGCTTGCCAAGATATACTTTTAGCAGATGTTTTTTGAGTTGACAATCGTTGTGCAAGAGCACGAGAAACTGTGATCATTAGCATATGCATTATGTGGAAACTAGCTAGGTTGAAGCTGACTTATCAAACAGGAAAGAATTTTTCATTGAGTCGTCAATATCTAACAATAGGAAAAGTTTTCAAAACCTATTCATCCATCATTTCTTAGATCAGCATTTTCTTCTTCTATGGCGTTAGTTTTGTAGGAAACGTAGCTGGTAATACCTAGCGAATTGGGCAATAGTCATCGTTACAACGAGAAAAATTGTAACGTGGATATAGTCATCAGATGAAATAATCAGAGTTTCAGTTCACTTTTCAATTCTATGGTTGGATTTGATATTATACAGTTCTGCAGGCACCTATTTGTACTCTATTTTGACCGCTTCAATTAAGCTCTCGACCGTAGTAGATCATCAACACGTAACTTTCATGTTCAAAATCGACTAAAGATTTCTCGTCGCAATCATGTTTGAACTCATTCATGACCTGCGAAGTACAATGATACCATAAATGTTCCTCCAATTCAATGTATACTTATAGGATCATTATGTTCGAGAAGCAACTATGATGAAGATAGATGCGATTGTAGAGAGATTCACTTTTCACACACTCTGTCGAACATTAAATATCGTCCGAATTCATTCACAAAAAAAGATTTTCAAAACTGTCACTTTGAACATTTTCTTCTTTTTGAAAAATCTTACCTTCAGATATGGTCTCCGTCAAATGAAGGATAAAATTGTATGACGACAGAGTATTGTTTCATTCGTCACCATAATCGAACTCCTATACTTGGAAAGACCGTAGCGAAAAGCGATGTGATGAGCTAAATCTGTAAAAGACTAATTACAGTGTTAAACGATTATTCGCTTTTGTTTTGATAATATAACTTGACTTGAAAATGAATTGATAAAGTAGAATGAGTATATTATAATGAATTTTATCTAAATGGACTAATCTTATGCATCTTTCCTCACAGAAATAGTCTTGAACATCATTATAAAGTGTTTCAATTGTGAGAAAATAAGTTTTAAGCTTCAATTTTTCAAAAAGAAAACTTTCAATAATTCAAAACAATTTCATATAGGTTAGTAAGAAACCCACCCTCTATTAGATTGGCAGTCGTTTGTTATCGGTTTTACTAGTTACAACGCTGCCAGAACGATGTCTAGTATTACTGGTGAACACACTTTTGGTCAATAGTGTGATTCATTATTGTACTGAAGTCTCATTTACCTCTTCTTCTTTGGATATCCGTAATTTTCTTACTATCTATCAATGTGTTTATTTCAAACGTGTTTTCTGAAATTTTTGACTACTTTAGATAGAGAAATCGGCAATATTTAACAACAGAAAATTTCACATGGATGTTTGTAATGTCTTCGACAACATTTATGCTCTCTTTGTTAAAGAGGGCGAGCGACGACGATAATGAAATATATGAATAGTAGGTCTGTGAGTGTGGGATGTGATGTGTTGGTGTAAGTGTGGGTATGGAGAAAAATAGATCACATCCACATCCACACCCCATCAAATACTTCTTTGAAAAATATTGATAGATTTTGCTGAGTGTACCTTGAGTATAATGTGTACAGTCTTGAAACAATGATATGTGATTTTTGTACGAAATGTGATTACTCTCATGAGATTTATTAGGAAAGTTATTGAACGAAGCAATTTTTTCAATTTAGCTAAAAATGTACTTAGTTTGGTTTCTAGATTATTGGTAAATGAATGATGCCTTCTAAATAGCTTTACTCTTCGATTGAAAATAGATCCATGCGAAGTTCCACATATTCTTATAAAAATATTTCTATCAACACATTATTATGATAATAATGATATTTAATTAAAAAAAAATACATTTAAATTTTGAACTAACTAATCGGCTTGTGCTTCAAGTTCTTCCAAAAGTCGTTCAATATTCGATTGCATCTTCCATAGCTCATTATGCCATGGATGCAGACATTTCCTGTAGATAGCTAACGCTTGTTGATAGTTATCAAGTGCCAACGTAGGATTTTGAAGATTTTCGTAAATTTCACCTATATTCGATAAGCTATGGCCAATGTCTTCATGATCTGGTGGTAGAGTCTTCAGACGCATTAAAAAACAATTCTGTTCGTACAAAACAGACACTTCATGCTCGTCTCTCGTGGTGTGTACTTGTGACAAACAATTAAGCAGGTTAGTGATGACGAGATCTTTTGGAGATAAGCTAGCTTCATTAATTAATAAACACCTTTCCAAGTATTCAATAGCAAGATCAAAATGGAAATTTCTATTGAAGTTAGCAGCGATCCAGTATAAGCAATCAGTAATTTCAATATGATCATCGGGATAATATTCTTCGAATAAGGTCAATGCTTGTTGATAAAAATCGACAGATTCATCATATTTTGTTTGCTGAAACAAATTATTACCTATGTTCTTAAGATCTCTTGCAATTCTCAATCGATCACTAGGCGAGTTACTTTTGAGTACTGTCAATGCTTGTTGTTGAAATTCGAGAGCTTCATCATATTTTCTTTGTCCTCTTAAAACTTCAGCTATGTTGTCCAGGCAAGTAACCATATCCGTATGATTGGGTGCATATTTCTTGTAAAATGCCACTGCTCGGTAATAAACATCGAGAGCTGCATCATATTTTGTTTGATCCGTCAATATATTACCAATATAAGCCAGACAAGTAGCCAGATTTGCATGACCAGATGGATAATATTGCTCATAGATTGCCACCGCTCGTTGACAGAAATCGAGAGCTTCATCATATTTTTCTTGTTCAGTCAATGTATTACCAATATTAGCAAGACAACTAGCTATGGTTGGATGATCGGATGGATAATATTGTTGATAAATTATCATTGCTCTTTGATGGAAATCAAGAGCTTCATCATGCTTTCCTTGTACATTCAAGATAATACCTATATGTTGAAGGCTCCGAGCAATATCAACATGACCACATGGAAAACACCTCTCCAGCACTGATAGAGCACGTTGATAACAGTCGAGAGCTAGATCGTACTTTCTTTGTCCAAAGCGAATTTCGCCGATGCGATTCAGACTGTCCGCAATTTTCTCATGACACGAGGAATAATTATCTTCTCGAATTGTTAATGCTCGCTGTTGAAACTCAATAGCTTCTTCGTATTTTCCTTGTTGGTTCAGGATATCAGCAATATCGATGAGGCCATTGGCAATAGCATCAGAATTCGATGGGCAACTTTTTTCATAGATTTCTAATGCTCGTTGATAGAACTCAAGCGCTTCATCATGTTGTCTTTGTTTATTCAGAATAGTAGCGATACTGCTCAAACTATAAGCAATATTAACGTCATCAGAAGGATAATGTTGTTCTCGTATCATCAATGCTTGTTGTTGGAACTCGATAGCTTCATTGTACTTCTCTTGATCTCTTAGAACATTGGCTATGTTAATTAGCATATCAACAATGCCAGCATAATTAGTTGCATCACAGTTCTTTCGCATTGTTAGTGCTCGTTGATGAAAGTCAAGAGCTTCATCATACCTTCTTTGCCAACGCAGAGCTTTCCCAATATTGCTAAGAACGGCGGCGATTCCAGCATAATCTAATGGATGCAATTTCTCTCGAATAGCTAATGATCGTTGATAGAATTCAATAGCTTCATCATATTTCTCTTGGCTATATAGAATATTACCAATTAAATTCAGGTTTTTTGCGATACAAACATGAGCTAATTCATGATGTTTTTCTTGAATAGTCAACGCTTTTTGATAAAACTGAAGAGCTTCATCATACTTCTTTTGTTCATATAGAGTATTACCAATGGAGCTGAGAGTATGAGAAATTTCGATGTGATTATCAGGATAGAAATTCTCTTGCATGGCAAGTGCCCTTCGATAATAATCATTTGCTGCATTATACTTTTCTTCATTGTACAAAACATGACCGATACGATTGATGGTATCAGCTATAATAACACTGTCTAATGGATAATATTTTTTTTGAATTTCTAGTGCTTTTTGATGATATTCAATCGCTTGGTCGAATTTCTGTTGTTTACGAAATATTGTGCCAATATTAATGAATGTTATCGCAATATTCACATGACCATTTGGATAATACTTCTCTTGCATTTCAAGTGCACATTGATAAGACTTCAATGCTTCATCGTATTTGTCTTGTTTAATGAGAACATTACCGATATAATTTATAGTGTTGGCGATTTCACGTTGACATGATGGACAATATTTTTCTTGTATTTCTAGTGCTCGTCGATGATAATCAAGAGCTTCATCATACTTTTCTTGTTTGTACAATGTAATTCCAATGTTGTTCATATAAAAAGCAATGGAATATCGATCAAATGGACTGTGTTTTTCGACAGTTGACAGTGCTCGTTGAAGAAACTCAATAGCTTCATTGTACTTTCCTTGTTCACTTAGGATGTTGCCAATGTTGTTAAGACTTGAAGCTGTTGAAGCATTACCCGAAGGATAATAGTTCTCTTGCATTGTAAGTGCTCGTTGACAATAGCATAGAGCTTCATTATATTTTGATTGACAAACTAGTACATTAGAGATGTAGTTGAGAGTGTGAGCAATGTCTGCATAATATGATGGATAATATTTCTCTTGCATTGCTAATGCTTGTCGATGAAAACCAAGAGCTTCATTGTACTTTTGTAGTTCCTTGTTCATATAGCCAATGTTATTCAAAGTACATATAAGGTTGTCGTGACCGTTAACATAATATTTCTGAAGAATCTCCAGAACTTGTTGATAAAATGATAGAGCCTCATCATATTTTCCTTGTCCATCGTAAACATGTCCTATTCCATTCAGACTACAAGCAATATCGACATGGCCATTCGGACGATACTTTTGTTGCATTATCAATGCTTGTTCATACAACTTGAAAGCATCGTCATACTTCCCTTCACGATACAAAATGTGACCGATGTAATTGAGAGTGGAGGCGTTGTATAAATGACCATTTGGATAATATTCTGTACAGATTGACATCGCTCGTTGACATAAATCGAGGGCTTTGTCGTAGTTTTTTTGCTCAGTAAGAATTTCGACAATGTAGCCAAGACTAACAGTGATATTGATATGAGGAAATTGATAATATTCTTCGAGCATTGTCAGTGCTTGTTGATGAAAGATAAGTGCTTCATCATACTTGGCTTGTCGGACAAGAATTTTTCCGAAGCCACGGACATTAGTAGCAATAGGCACATGACCATCCAAACGAATCTCACTCAGACGTAGCGAACCAGTTTTCCCTAAGTTTCGACACATTTCTTGCAACTGAGTTTTGCTCGAATGTTCGTCAACAGGCTTCGTTCTATTTGTCGCATATTTCGAATGCAACGAACGAGAAAGTTCTCGAAATTTTCTAGTCCAACACCATTGCGAATACGATTGAAAGAAACTGCCTAAATTCAATAAAATCGACCAGAATAATCCATGAACCCAACTTTGAAAACGACTATATTGATAATTTGGTGGGCAAGACTTATCGGTCTCGATAGAGGAATAACTTTCCTTTCGTATCGCAAATGTTCGTTCATAATAATCAAGAGCTTCTTCGTATTTTCCTTCTTGATAAAGTATTTCACCAATATTGAAGAGTATATCTGCTGAATCCTTCATCCGTCTTGGTTTCACATTCATCATTCGTTCATAAGCACAATCATAATATTTTCGGGCTTCACTCCATTCTCCTTTCCATTGAAGAACTTCACCAAGATTATATTCAATCTTTGCGATATCTTCATTGTAGATATTCGAGTTGTTCAATAAGTATTGAAAAAAGTGTTGTGCCTGATTCCATTGACCCATATCACACATCAATCGGCCAAAGAGAATTCTGATGCTTAGATCTTTCATTTGACGATCTGAATCTATGATATATTTTTCTTTGATCATTTGACCTTGATTCGATACATTCATTTTAATCAACCACATATTTTCCTGCATTTTCACACTCTCCAATCGAAAAGTGACATTTGAATCGAACAGAATTTCTTGTTGTTCTTCACATGTTAATTCACAGAAATAAACACTATTACCTAACTGTTGTAGATCGCATTGAATTTCTAATAGAACCGAACTGAGATCAGTTTGTTTGGAAGATTTCATTGCTTGATTCAATGCAGTCGAACAAAGAATACTTGTTGTAAAAAATCCATTGATTGAAATCAATTTACCTTCGTTCTCTTTGAATTTCTGAATTTGATCACTTTTCAATTTCATTCCTCGATATGTGAATAGTATTTCTTTACCAGATTGAATCATCTTTTGATGTTCTCGAACAAGATTTTCTGTTAAATCTCTCATAAAATATCGAAATATGTAGAGTTGATCGAAATCTTTGGTTCTTAATGCTTTGTTGATGATTTTATACAGAAATGATTTTTTCGAATACCATTGAAGAGCTTCTTCTGATTGATATTCATTTTCAAACTTCTCAATCACTTTCAATTCTTTGATATTATCTCGATAATAAGAACGAGATGCATTGATCATTTCTTGTTTAGCTTCTTTATTGTATGTTAACTCAAAGAGAACATCATGATATAGTTGAAACCAAAGAAGATCAGCAGTTTGTTTCGATAAATCTCTTGTCAAATATTCTTCTTGATCAAAGAAACTGAATATTTGTAAATGTCGATTGAGAAAATCGACTTGTTCTTGAACTGATAAATACAATAGATCAAATTCATCATAGATACCAATAAGTTTTGTATGTTCAAGAAATAAATGTTGGTGATCGATTTTTTTCCAATTGAAGACAAAGATGCTGTCAATTTGAGGTAACGTTGCAATATGAGATAATATTTGTGATGTATCATCAATTGAAGAGATGAAGATGATTCTGTCATTATGAATTGATTGAATGAAAGTAATGCAAGATTGGAGTTGAGTGTGAAAAACAACATAATCATTGATTTGACGTAGTTGTTTAATTGCTTGTTCTAGATGAGTATTGGAATTGATATTTGAGTCGAACCAAATCAAAGTAATATTCTCTTTATTGTTAGTTGTATTCATTGTTTCTAATAAATTTTTCATGATAAAGGAATGTGTTGCAGTGGATGGTAGAGATATTAAGATAGTTGTTCAATGGAAATGTCACTAAGACACTTGAATAATAAGATGAACGATTTTATATCTTGCAATAATGAAAAAGCTGTAATATTTCACAGTGCAAAACAAAATGTCAGTGTCCAAGTCATTCACGGTGCCATCGGCATCAGTGGATTTTCTTGACTTCTAAAGGGCTTCTGACTAGAATTATCCTTTCATATTTTTGAATGAGTAAGTCTACTCAGAAATGAGTTGACAGTGGAAAGAAATTTGTCAGAGGCATAGGCAGTGCAATTTTGTTGCAATAAATCAATTTTTCCTAAACTTTCAGGAAAGACCTGCGTGGTGGTTCATGTTGCAATACATGTCCTGAGAAAAAGACAACAATCTCAGTTATTATCTTAAATATTTCATCATCATGATAAAGTCACATATTAGAACAGTTTCTAGATGATTTGAGAGTACTACAAATGTAACTTTATCATGATGATATTTTCAAGAAAACAACAGGAAATATTTTCGTTTTAAAGTATGTATTTGCAAATAAAAAAAAATAAGAAAGACCAGTTTGAGAGTACGATAGTCAGAGACTCAAGCATTTTGGACAATTATTTCTAGTATTTCTACGATAATTAGTATGTCAGTGAAAATATAAGAAAGTTACTAAAATCAGTCACATTCTTGAAAATAGCATTAGATAAGGCTTGCTCAAGAAATCGAAATGTACAGGATTCGGATCGTAAAAAAAAACATCGATACTTGCTCATGTAAAAATGAGTAAGTAAAGCAAGAAAAAAGTAATTATAGTTATCTCCTCATGTGACTCTATTTCCCATTTAGAATACGACTAGTAAAATGAGTAAGTAATGATGTTTAAATAAGCACAATGATGAGCTATGTGACGCATATATGATTGAAAGGAAGTGACTGTTTTCTTTTCCAACTACAATGTGTTTATTTGTGTAGAAGAAGTATCTCTTGTCTCAAAATGTGAATAGTCTACGTAATAGAGATGCGTCACGCTACTGATTCTCTTTTTTTTTTGTTCTGTTTTTGTGCAGTATCAATCCTTTCTCCTTCTCTTACTCATCTTGCACATTTATGTGCATCGTGATTTCCTTTAAACGCATGACGATACATATTTGTGAGCAGTCCATTTCTTCCTAGAGTTTAAAAAGAAAACAGTTAAGAATTTTTAGTTTTCATTAGCTAATCAGACGAGAAATTAATCAACCTATCCAAGATTGTTTGAAAAGATGCTGATTGTTATTGTTTTGAGTGATTGGCGTCGTTATTGTAAAGCATACAAGTTTCATGTGTTTACGAGATATTTTTGATTGAACTTTTATAAAATAGAAACACTCTGCTAACCGTAGCTTGATCTTTGAATTCAATGGTGTGTTATAAACTAAAACCAAATGTTAACAATAATTCATGTTCAATCGATTCTATGATCGAATATGCTAATCCATAATGACAACAAAGTGCAGTAGAGCATATGAAAATAACTGCTTGAGACTCACTGTTTGAAAATTTTGTTGAATAATCTACAAAGTCTAAAAAATGAGCACATGTAATGTTCACTTTTGTGTGTCACACATATTTTTTTCTCATAGCGACCAGGAGTGATTTGACTCTTCCTGTTGTATGATTAACTCGTTTGGTTCAAACAAATAAATTTATCGACAATCATTGAAGCGTGTTATTGAATGTTTATTGGTAGTTTATGATGAGTATCTTAATTTTGTAAAATATTCTCAAAATCCATCCATAATGATCCTTTGTCTTGCACAATGTATTTATCAGTGTTGATAGCAGGTCTAATATATTTATTGCTTGTTACTTAGTTTTTACAAACGACAAGGAATCAATTCAAAATTTCTTATGTAATCACAAAATCATGATAGTCAAAAAGTAGAACTTTTAAGAAAACAAGATGAGATATTCAAGGAATTAAATAATGTATATGTATCTGTGTACAAAGAGGTGTAGGTGTGGATGTCAGTCTAGCTGTGAAAAATATTTTAGAGGTATACCGTTGTTTTCTCATAAAAATTCTGGAGAGCAACCCTCCACGATCTTATCGAAATAGCCAACCAGCGTTATTTCAAAATTTATGTTTTATTTTCTTTTATTCGTCATCACTGTGATATTTCTTCAATCGAAACGTATTTCATTCATTAAAAAGTATCTCACATATTGATTTTTGAGAAACCAAATTGATATAAACGATCAGAACATGATATTTCTTTGTGAGGATTGGTAAAAGCTTGAGTGAAAAAAAGGAAGTGAGTGTTTTGTGAAGTCACCTGGATGAACCAATTCATAATGATTCGACTGATCGATCAGTTTATGTCTGTTTTCATCATCTTGGCAGGCTTCAACTCTAAAAAAGCTTCTATTTTTATTATTCGAAGCCTTGCAACAAGGTTGAGAATAACACTTATTGCAATATAAGTGGTCTAGGCAAGACAAACGTAAAACTCTATAAGCATTCAGAACTATATTGTGCTTCTAATATCAAATCGACAACCTGGAAAAGTTTTGTGTACTCGTCGATTTTTACCGATCGGAAAATATTTTTAGATTGGCGGAACTGAATAGGTCTAATATTTTTTTGATCGATTACGACTAAGTGACAGTCACACCCGCATCCTACTTATAATAAGTAAATTTCATTCATTTTGTTTTGTGTTTGCTTTTAGAAGAGAAAAACAAAAGGAATTTTTTTAATCATAAATGAATGTCGGATTTCTATATTGAATGTTGTATTTCTTAGTTCGATTGAATGTGCAGATGATATATATATATATACACGTATGTATATATACGACGTTATTTAAAAATCATATGAACGGTGATTGATGAAGCCATCACCATGGCAAAATTTCTGAAATAAGTTCTACCTGTTGCATACTATGCAATTGTTGAATCTATTTCAGCTGCTGTCACTATGACAGAAATATAAATACTTAAATTACAAAGTTTTTCTTTCTCAATAATGGAATTTTTCTCTTCTTCTTGTAAATACTTTTGTCTTATATATACCAGAAATACTAAAGTGAAAGATAATATTTCCAGAGCTCGTTCCAAAGGCGAAATCAATTCAAGTTTTGAAAGAAGATACTGTTATCGATTTATATATAACAAACTATTCGACATAAAATACTTTTATCGACGATAATTTTCTCTCTTCTCCTAAAACAAAAAGATCTACAGTACAGGCATAAATAAACTTATAAGGAAAGGTCCCCAAATAAAAAATTTCTTTCAAGCTGCAACGATATTTAATTGTTATGACTCATTGAGTAAGTAAGTACTTCAGATTGGGGCGAGCTGTTGCATCTTTTTTTATTAAGATTTCAAACTTTTGGTGGATTGTTTCTGTAAGATCCCATTTTTCAAGTGAAATCATACTTTTAAGTTTTGATCTGCAACTTTACACACATAAAAGCATCGATGAGACTGGCTTATAACAAATGTTTCAAAATTATTTCCCCGAGTTTCTCCAATGTATCAAGTTTTCAAATCTAGATGCATAGCCATGATTATCGTAAAAAAAATAAATATTTTGAAAAAATTCATATCTTGGAAATGATTGGTCAAAAATTCTGCACTTTTTTCTGCAAGCGACTCTAATCTATGCCTTTATGTGGGCAAAATTCTAGGTCAAAATTCAAAATTATAGTTTCAGTGAAAAACTAGGGTCCTACATGAAAATCCATCAAAAGTTCGACATTTTAGCAACAAAGATTCAACAGCTCGAATCAATCTAGAGTATTTACTCACTCAATATACTCTATAGATTGAAAATAGTTTCAGGTTAAAAATGATTTGTCACTTCGAAATCTTTCCTCTTCAGTAGAAACACTAGGCAAAGCCAAGTCAGAAATTTGTCAATATTGCACTCAAGAAGACATTTTCTGAATTCGAAAGTTTGGTTTGTTGAGAGAAAGATATGAAAATAAATTATGTATGTCAATATTTGATTGATTTATCTATAATCTCAGCTATTATTGTTTTCATTTTTGATCATAGGATTTCTGAATGATTTAGGTACTTTTTCCTCTTGTTAGTACTTGGAGAAACGTCCTATCTTTGCTTATTACTATATGTTGCTAAATAGATAATAAATTGTTATTTTTATCTTTTCTCTTGAAAATTAAAGGGCGACAAATGACATTGACAACGTGAGAAGTTAGATAACAAACAAAAAATGTATGTTCGTTTATAATAATCAAACTCGTAGTCAAGAAAGAACACCAAACAAGCTCTTTAAAAAAATATTCTATTGCAAAAAAGCTAAGAAGCTTAGCAAAAGCACATTTTTACATAAAAATAAAAAGATAAAGGATCAGTAATTGATTGAACTAAGTGCTTGCAGTTGATGAAAGGATTATTAGTACATAAAAAATAAGATTAACTCAAAATTTATTCAAACATAATCACTAATTTTAAATTTAAGTTGTTTTCTTTTTGAAGAAAAAAAAGGGAATAAATATATTTATGTATATGTATATATATCGTTAATATTTCTCTTTTTTTTAGGAAACGATTATTATTTTTAGGATAACAAACATATTCATAAAAAAACACTTTATCTTCTTACAACAGTAATGCTAGTGCTGTTATCTCGTCGTTTTCTTTTTATTTATTTATGAAGATTACATGAATAAAGAAAAAAAAGCAGTTAAAAAAAGAATGAAAATATATGTGAATAGAGAATTCAAAAAAAAAAAGAATTTAGTCACTGTATAAATTTGATGTAAAAGGTTTATTTAAACGATGCTCATGACGTTGTAATAGATCATAATCTGGATATGGAGTATGTGTTGGTGAAACCAATGATCCATATCTAGCAATAGGAGTTTGTTTAGTATAGTTAACTGATGATTGATCATTATTGTCTCTCTCATTAACGACTATATTCGAAAAATAATCATAAACACCTCGAAGACGACCATGTTCTGAATAAATCTTTTTTTGAATAAATTCTTCATCGTACTCATCCATATTGATATGAAGATTACTTTTTGGAGCATCTTTTTTAATCCATGGCAGTTGTGAATCTTCAACTTTTTTGCTATTGTCCTGGATTCCTCGGTGACAATAAGGACACACGAGAGGCTGATCGATGTTTTGATTCAGTGTTGTGATAGGTTGTCTGTCTGTACTTCTAATATTCTTTCTGGGTGGAGCTCGAGCTTTTTGTAAATTTCTCGATGGTGCAGGAGATGGTGTAGTCGAGTTGTGGTCTGTCTGGTTTTCATTAGTACCACCTCCAAAGTCTTCATTAACGTCATCACCATCACTCTCCATTTTTTTAGCTAACAAACATATATCCAGAAATAAATTTATAAAAATATCAACTAGATATACATACAAGAACTCTGTTGGTGCGTGTCGTTGGATGAAGGATTCATTTGTCCTGCATTTCTTGTTGCAGATTGTGTTGATGGTGGATTATTTTGAACTTGTGTTGATACATGAATACTTGGTGTTGATCTTTGACTAGCACTCGGTGTTTGTTTGTGACTATCAATTGATGGTTGTGTAATACGACGTGGTGGTACTTGATTTTCATTTGAAGATACTGTATTTGGCGTATGTGGTTCTTCTAGATCTTCTGATGAAGACGCATTTGATCCCTCCGATTCAGATTGAGTATCACTTTCTGGTGAATTTGATGCCTGTTCTGAATTTGTACTTTCAGTTGGTGCTGGTCTCGGTTCTTTTCTTGAGTTATTTTTCGAACCTCGACTTCCCATGTCACTTTCGTTTCAAATTCTTTGCACAAATAAGTATATAGGACTTTCAATAAATGTGACTATTATGAAAGTTGTTGTTTATCAATGTTTAATGGAAAAGATAAGAATAAAGACAAATAGATGTTAAAGAACCACTTGTTCTAGACGACAAAAAAGATAACGTAATAATGAATAATAATGTTATTGCATTTATATAATAATCTTTTCTTTTCTCCATGAAGAGAAAAATCTATCATACTGATATGTTAATTTATGTATACTTCTTAAAGCAAATCTATTTGATCAATATAGGTTGTGATAATAAAGCTATTATCGAGATAAAAGATTAATCCATATTGGTTTAATCTGTTCAAAGGAAAGCTATGATAAACTCATATAAAATCTAAAGTCTTGAGTCTTTCGAAAGAGATCGAAGTTTATTTTTCAACAAAACACAGTCAATCATGATCGATTTTTCTTTTTATTCGAAGAGATTAAAAAAATATATCAAAAATAAAAATCGATCGATCAGACACTCTTGTTGGTGATGGAAGGGTATGCGTGTGTGAAAGAAGAAAAAAATCACACCCTTAAAAAACTAGAGGTTTGACTTTTTAGAGACTTCTTGATGGCTATTGTAAATCTTACCATGTCTCATTTATTTAGATTTCATGAAATTTACAGATGGCATTAACATCAATGATAATGATAATCGTCATTATATGTAATACAGTACGTTCTCATCATATGTCTTTCTTTTTAGTAGGAAAATATGTTTTTAAAATTCTAACTTAGATTTTCCTAGCTTTCAATTTTGTAGCTCATTATTTTTAGAGATGCAGTATTGCAAAAAAAAATTTCTTTTTGATTGATTGATCGATAGTTTATGGAGTTCTCTACAAGCCATTTTCCCAAAGTTTTTTAATTCCATGTTTTATTTATTTTCTCAAATCGCTCTGCACATGTTCACTTAAATTCCAAAGAGGTAGATAAAAGAATTCAAGTGACGGACAATGTCTGATGTGTACTGTTTGATAAAACCTATTTTTTAAATTATTTCCATTTAGATCTTGATTAAATGGGTATTGGACTTGTAGAATTAACTTGAATGCTTCTATGTGGTGCATTTTGATTCCAAGAATTAACTATTTCAATTATGTAAAACTATTGTATCGTAGACAATTTGATATATGAAATATAACAAGTTTAAAGTATATTTAATGTCTCTTTATCGTTTCCTCACTAGGAGAAGCATCTAACTATCTAATCCTTTGTTTCACCAAATGTCGTGAATGACAAGTAATTGATCATACTGATTTTAGATATTAATACGAGAGCAGCAGATATAACTTCAGAGACCTATTATTTTCTAGAAAACCAATTTTTCTTATCCAAGAAAAAGGCTTTTTAATTCGTGCGGGTTATAGAGCATATCAATTTGACTGTAAAACACTAGTTTTATTTCGTTTGAAAACCATTATTGAGGTCACCAGTAAGATAATGCTTGCATTTTCCTTCTGATGTTGACAGAAAAAAAAGTCCTTCTTTATTTCTCGTGTTGTCAAAACAATGTGTTCAAAGATAGGCGTCACTCGCACTAAGGATGCGTGGGTGCGGATATGCCTCGTACATTCACAGTCCATCTACTACATCCAGATCCAATCCACGTGATTAGATTAAAAAAAGTGATCAAATAGTGGAAGATTTTTCCTCATCAAACACCTGAGGCATTCAATTTAAAGAAAATTTTGTTTTACAAACTAAAGATATTTTTCAAATGTCAACGTCTTCTCTAAAATCTAGTCAATAGCATAGAAACCAGATTTTGAAAAATATACAATAGACGAGAGTAATAGTAATATTTCATCTTTTCTTGAATGTTTTATTTTTATTCTACATAAAATCTATACTTGATAACAAAAAGAAAGATGAGCTCCTCAAATACATATCGAGAGCATGTTTAATATAAACAAAATGCAAACTGATAAAATCAATTTTTCTGTAGTTATCAATACAAAAAAATTTGTAACCTAAAGCAACATTGAAGAATTATTAACACTCATGTTTTATTATTAAGTATACATTAATATTCCATTTCATTAATATTTTTCACTAAAGTCCAAGCGACATCCTGATAACGAACAATTTTTTTGGGTCAAGTAAGTAGAAATGATCGCAAATTACGATCAAGACAAGATTTACTATGCGAGAAAAAAGGATATAAAAAAAATGATTAATGAAACATAAAAGTATTGAGTAGTTTTTTTAGTTTGATAATCTGAACTAGATTTATGATATCTATTTTTGCATATTTCTATAAGACAATCGTTTTCCAATGTGTAGTTATCTTTGTCTCCTACTTCCCCAATTCCACTTTTCAGAAACCTCTTTCCCCTCGCTTATACATTTCTCATCCACAATTTCTATTCTCATTGCTCTAATTATCATAATCTTTTGTAATTTTCTATATCGAAAATTCAGATAGATATGTCACATAATAAAAACTTCTATCGGATCATATAAATCTTTCATCATCTTCATATCAAATAAAAAGTCAAGAACAAATATAAATTTCAAGTATATATTTAACAAAAGAAGAAGTACAACAACAATAGTTATAAAAAAAAGTCACATCACTGTTATAAAGTGGAACAAAGTATAACAATAACATTTATGTTCGTCTCATATATAATGCACCAAATGTGAGCATACCTAAAATATAAATGAATATATCATGCTGAGCAAATATAATTAGTTTTGGATAAAGCACTGATATTTTCTACACACGTTTTGTTTGTTATCACGTTATCTCAGTAGGTGGTAGAATCAAGATTCATACATCTTAATTGTTCGTAACAGTATGTTCTCAGGGTAAAAAAGTCATTCTCTTAAAAGCATTGTAATATACTTGCCTATAGTTCCAAGAATACTTGCATAGCGACTAATAGAATTTCGTCGTTGTGAAGTTTTATCATAAATCTTCAAACATCCAGTCTTTACAAAAAAAAATACACATATTAAAATTGAAACAATATTTTATTCGAATTAAAACAAATTTACCCAATAATTTTGACTTTCAAGCCATGTATGAAGATTTATATCAATAAAATTTGTTGTCCAATCAATAATTGATGATATAAAGAAATCCATATTTTGTTGTTGTTGCTGTATAAAATATTCAGCTAGTATAGCTGAAAATGAAATGAATGTTATAATTCGACTCCATGTTATTGTTCCATCATTAAATAATTCAGTTGTTATTTCATAATGAATATTTTGAAGATCGATTATTGATGATGACAAATGAACATTAAATATTGGTTGTTGAGAATAATAAATTGTTTCACAATCATAAGCAAGTTTACGTATAATCATAAATAAACGATTATTTGTTATTGTTTTATTTTTTAAACGCCAGTTGAAATAATCAGTTACGATCGATCGTGTTGTTGGATTATCATTAGAACACATGTCGTTGAATTTATTGCTTCTTTTTGAATTAAATGACAAACGAATAGAATCTACGACTTTATAAAGTCTTATTGTTTATCGCCGTGACGGTCAACGAAGGAGAAAAGTATTGGTTCATAGAGAAGAAAAACGAGAGAGAGAAACAGAGAGAACAATCTCTCTTTTCCTAGTGATTGTTCAGTCATTGTACTCTCGTCTATTCTTTTTCCTTCTGTAATCGTCCGTTTTGTGTGCTTTATCATTAGAGAATCATGTTCTTCATGTGTGTATGAATGTTCGACCGCTAACAATGTTCAGCTGCTTCCAATGGCGATTATATCGTATAATTTTTCAAATTACAGATACTTGAAGAAAAATAAGAGAACCATAAATGCCAATTAAAAATAAATCAAAAAGGACATTATGCCGCTAGCAAATATCTGTGATAATTTTCATGCGGAATGTCAAAATGATGAATTTTATTTCAGTTGATTGATGATAAAACTTGTAGATGTTCCATGATTTCATCATCAATAGTCAACAATGCCGCAATTGACTGAAAACTTTTTATCTTATTTTAAACAATATTGATACATCAGTGATAGGAAGAATTCACATATATGAATTGTGTTTTAAGAGTACCTCACTCCTTCGAATCAATTGTAGGTCTTCGCTATAATACAACCAGTCGCATTCAAATTTTTACCACATTTAGATCATCAAATATGATGGGATTGATGTTTTCGAAATAAACTTGAAGAGTAAATCTTCAGGAATTTTTGAAGGAATCTGCAGAAACCATCGAGTTCGCTTGCGACTTCAGAGTATATATTGAGCAGATGTTCCATCACCTAATTACATATCGTATGTAGACGATATAGATGAAATCATGCATAGAACGAATATATTTCATCTGATCAGAATAGTGTTCCTCTTGCAAATGTTAGACTTTAATCAGTGTTATTATCAAGTGAGAATGTAGAAACTATTTGAAAAAAACTCAAAACACTAGATATATACAAATAATATTAATTGAGGACTGAGTATTTTACCATCTACCGTAATTCTTCCACCCTTAACTAGCACTATTATTGTTGTAGTTTGTTATTCATCACTTCATTCTTATCATTGTCCAAATTCTTATTAATGATAGAAGGAAATCTAGTCTCAGTGAGTTAAACATTTCACGTTCTATGAATCATATCATTTATATTGTCTATAGACGATTTGTAATAAGGCTGTAGGACACTTACTTAACGAATGCTAAATCTGTCTTCATTTAGTTCGATCGAGTTGAAATTTTTTCGAAAAATATCAATATGGAGTTGGTGATCTTCGTACCCGACAGTGTTTGAAAACTCATGAAGACGTACTTTAAAAATTTTTCTTCAAATATGAACTTCATCGTGTTCGATAATCTAGCTGTGAACCTGACAAGTTTTACTCTCGTGTAGAGCTAGATGTAGTTCAAAAGATGGGGAGATATACTAAAGTTCATTCGATACAGTGAATAAATTATGAATTTGTCTAGCTATAATTTAATTAAACGTAGGATCTTAATGTATAACTGTTTGATTAGTTTTTTGAATGGTTCCAAAATCTGCATGAATGATTTTTAATAGGAAGTTTCATATCATTGACCAAAGTCTAATCTTGCATTTGATACAAGCTAGATATTAGGTCTCATATGAAGTCAAGTACGATGAAAAAGTTGTTTGAATTTGGGATGAAAAAGACTCATTTAATCGTGATAAAACATATTTAAAACCCATTATCTTGAATAAAACATTTCAACACTAACAGATTCTTATTAGTAACAGCCAAAGATAATTTTTCTCTGGATTCTTAATGATGATGACAAATGAAGAAATAGGATATATAAAATTCATTCTATCTATTTGAGAGAAATGGTGATCATGAATTAGCCATCCCTTCGAGAAAAAATTAGTATCTGATTTTATTAAAGAAAATTCAAGTGATAAGAATCTTCTATTTGTTATTCATTCATGACTCATCGTTTAATTAATGAAGTCAGACATTTGTTGTTTTTTTTCTTTTTCTTTCTTTTTTTGTATGATCAATGAATACAGACAAATTAAAATCTAATAAAACTCGATTAAAATCTAATGATTCTATTGAACATCTTCGTCAAAAGTCTACTGAATATTTATTTCAACCAATAATACAAACAAATGATATAAATAATCAACGTAAACCACCGTCACCATTTCAAACTGGTCTTAAATATTTAAAATTATTAGGTCAAGTTAAACGACAAAATGAAAATATTTCAAATGATACACATCAAATAAAATCAACAATTATTGATCGACTTGAACGTACATCAGCATTTTTAACAAATTATTATGCACCATTACCATCTCTTTCAATTAATTTAACAAATAAATCTATTCAAGTTGATAATTTTGATGAATTATCATATAAAACTGCACTAAATAATAATTATTCATATTTATCTTTCTATGAATTTTTATTAAGTTTTATTTTACTTTTATTATTTATTTCAATAATTTTATTTCTTCAATTAAATTCATATCCTATACATTGTTTAATACATAAAAACTTTTGGTATTCAAATGATTTATCAAATGGTTTTCTATGTGAAAATACAAATATTGAAATTCATTATGTTGAAATTTATTCAATCATTTATCAAATTGAAATTAAAAAAAATTCTAAATCAATAAATTGTTTAGGTTTTGATATACTTTCTTGTTTACCAATTGATTATTTATTAGTACCTAAAGGACAAACTATTCATCGTAATGACCAATTAATTAAATATTGTAATCATACACAAAAAATTCATTGTAATAATCATTTATTAAGTATTTTACCATATGAATATAAATGGAATTTAAAAAATAATCATTTCAATGAATTAATTCATTGTTCATGTTTAACATATTCAAACAATACAAAATGTTTTCATTTTAAAATTAATAATCAATGTGATTTACATATACCATGGTTCGATTATTGTCTTAAACATTCAACAACAAGTTCAGTATGTCAAGCATATATTAAGAAATTATAAATTAACAAAATATAATTAGAATATTGACAAACATATATACATATTTGTTGAGATAAAAGAAAAAGAATTGATCGTGGGAATCAACACGTATTTGATAATTCAAATAGAAGAAAAAACAGCGGAGAGACCATAGAGAACACTGTACAATCATCTCTTATGACGAAACAGAGATCAATATGAAAGTTGTTTTGTTTTTATTGAAATGAATTAAATAAACAAGTATTCGGAGTGAGCCATAAATAGCATTACAATAAAAAAAATTGACATATCTCCGTTTCAGTTTGCTCAAATAGACTGATCTTTTGGTTAGTAGTAGAAGCTGGTTTGATTCCATTTCATCCCGAAACTAAGACTAATTGATTAATTTTATTAGTTCATCGGTATATTTAATTCACCAGTAGTTTCTTTCATAAAATACCTACACACAACTTTGTTTTAGGGAAGGTATTTGTAATAATAGAAATGACAAAATAATTCAATAGGTCATAAGATAGTGGCAACAAAATATTAATATGTTCAAAATATTCATCTAATGACAAGCAATCTTATTCATATCGTCTGATTAAATAAAGACTATGTTAATTCGGAGAAATAAAATTTTTATTTCATGGAGGCTTCCTTATATTGTTATAAAGTTTTCCTATCGTAGTTATGTTGAATGCATAATCATTCTTTAATTCATCAATCATCAGGTATATATTTGGATTGTAGGCAGCAATATTTCCATTAAATCGATGATGTCACTCCTACCGTCCAGATACATATGAGGATAAAGAAACGCAATGTCCATATCCACAGTTGGATCCGATACGAATCGGGTTCTGGTATCAATCATTACTCTTTTTCTCCGGAGAAAATCAATGTCTCAATTCTTTCATTTCATAGTTAGAAACAAAGAATATGTTCTTGATCTCTTTTCATCCTTTCTTATTCGTCATTCTTTTCTTATGTAATTATTCAACCTTCAATTTTTATATTAACATTGAATAAACATATCTTCAAAATGTTCTGACTGCACATTCACATTGGAATCCAAATTTTTTTTGTAAATTGATACGATTCGAATCAGACACTAATTAGAGCAAGTAATCATGTCATCCCGTTCACCAATTGATTGTGAGTTAGCACTATAGTTTTCAATGACAGGATGTTAGCGAAACACTGTAAAATTTGACAGCTTTCTCTGCGAAAATTTTCTTTTGCTTCTGAAGAATACAAGTTAGCAATTTGTGTTTTTTTAATATTTTCAAAATGTCATAGGCATGAAATAATGATTGTGACACATGTTCAGAAGGAAGAATACGTTCCTTTGTATGTAACATAAAGATATATGATTGCTGTGTTGTGTCATGCAAACCCTACTATCGCTTGGAGTATTGTCCTTTATAATTGTATTTGTTGAATTTGGGTGCATGAACAATATGCACACACTTTAATTCACAAAGTAATTCCTTTTTGATAAGACGATAGTGAGATGACGTTTTCGCTGTCCTGTTGATCTTTGATCAATTTATTATTACACCATATTGTAGAAAATTCTGTAATGAATAAAAAGCCTTTTTTATTTTACAATAGCAATCGATTTTTTAAAAAGCTTCATTTCACAAAAATAAATTTGACAAATACTAACAACCCGTTAGATTTACTGATGGAGAAGTTCATTAAATAATAAATCACGTTTCGATCGCGTCTATGTGCATAATGTAGATCCAGATAAGTTGTGAATATCCTGAAAAGAATTCGTGCTCTTAGCTTATTGTTACGAAGGCACTGCAATTTCATGATATTTTTTAAGTGAGTGCCGTAGTCCTCAGAAACATCTGAAAAATTTATTTTTGAATTCGACTTCAAACTTTGCATCGGGCTCGAACTTTACAAGAGTAGTTTTTTGTGAACGTTTCATATCTTGTCGCTATCCCTATTCTAAGATACAAAGACGGTCATAGACTATCTTTTACATACATCGCGTATATAAATCAGCAGATTTGATGTTCTTATTTGAGGAGAGAAGCAAACCAAAAGACCAGAACCTTATACCATAAACTACTCTCATGAAGACCTGCCTCAATGCAAAGTTTCACTTCAACATTCATTTAAAAAATACCGTTAGAGTGCGGTATCTCAGCAACAACAAATCAAGAGTATGAATTCTTTTTAGAGTATTCATAGCTCATTTGAGTCTACTTAATCCATATAGCCTCGATTCAAAAGTGATTTATCAGTTAGATGAGTTCTTTCGTGAGTATCCAACCGCGCTACTTAATGATCAACATAAGTAAAAAAATAAAATATATGTAGTTATTTAAACTTTCATTTCAACCGGTTATGTATACAGCTGGTTGAACAATAGCTTGTCTTTGTGGTCGTTGTATACATTTCTTTATAGTATTGAAGAATGTCCGTCGAAATAAAGTTGATGTCAAACAATGAATATAAAAAGCCAAAGAAAAATTAGCATTCAAGAATATAGTCAATATAGCAATGACAATTAAGTATGTAAAATATTCTGTTGTATTTTGTTCATAAGCTAAATAGATCGTGAACATACGATAGATACCATAGGGTAATGTACATATAAGAAATAAAATAATTCTTGATAACATAAGAACAAGCATCTGTTTTTGAAGTTGTTGATTATGACGAACCATTACTACATTTCGTACTTTTCGATAAACAGCAATGAGACAAACAATCATTAATAATGCAGGTACGAGAATATTTATCCATATTTGTAGAGCGGGCCAAGTAAAATAATAGAATGTACCATAATCAGTTAAATTTACACGTAATGGACCACAAATAATACGACTGAATGAAAATGCAGTAGCAAAAGATGGTTGAAGAACATGACTATTGAATGCTACGGCACATAGACTAGACACAAGAAGAACTATAACAACATTCCTCTTTGTACATAATTGTTTTTTACGATGTGGTAAACGAACACGAATTACTCGATCGATTCCTATAAAAACTAATAGCCAAGGTGATATTGTTTGAACAAAATTGATAATGAATGTCCGAAATCGACATAATGATATATAATAAGGACTTAATTGAGGTAAACCAAGATTAATAAGAGAAAAATCATAAAGACTCATAAGTAAATAGAACATATCAAATAGCGTAATACTACGAAAGAGAAAAGTTGTAGAAGTCGAACGAAGTTGATGTTGAGAAAATGTCAATAAACTGCACGAATGTCCAATAAGACCCAAGGAAAAAGTAGCTATAAAACCATACGTTCCTATTGTTGCTGATAATGATGATGCAGACATAATTGAACTTATGATTTATTAGCGAAGTTAATATAGGTCGAGAAACTAGTGAAAGAAAATTTTCTTTTTACTGATGATAAACTTAAGATAGATAAAATAAATATATTGTATCTTTCATGCATGGGTAATGATGTATTAAATTATAGTTTTTATAAAAGACATTGCCTCAAGAATGGCATCAACGGAAACATCATATTCCTACCTACTGCTTTTCTTAAGGGCTAATACACCATGAGTGTAAGAAAAAGAAAAAGAAATGAGCATAAAGTACTTTTAAAATATTCTGTTTTTTTTATCTTTAATTAATGTCAAATATCTGGATTATTAATCAAGGTTGAAGGATTATTTTATGTTTGTTTAAGAAAAAAACATCTACTCATTTTACTAAGAATGTTTGCTTTTGAATATTTTTTAAAATTTCTTGTTCGAATAAAAGGATATGTTGTAGAGTAGATACAAGAGAAGTTACTATATTCCGAACAAACATTTTCTCTCCCAGATATAATTAAAAAACCAAGTATTTATCTAAGACCAAGTGAACCCATGCTAAATGAAAACAAATTATTAACGACGTTAATCTTATTATTATCTGAATGGATCATTATTTATTTGATTCAATACATATGATGAAAAATTTCCCTATACTCAATGACATATCGCGTTTCATTGAAGTCCAATATGAATAAGGTGATTACTTCTTTTAATAGTTACTATTGTTCGTTTCTAGAACACGGAGATATTCTCTTTTCATTGCTCGATTTTTGTAGATATATGTTTTTACAATAAAAATTATATCTCTACCATTAAAAAGATACGCTAGAATTATTTGTAAACACTTTTAGTTCAATCGATTATTGAATCATTCTCTAATTTATTTAAATAAAATAAAACAAGATGAACATTCAATCTCTCACAGAATTACACGATAGAAATAAAAATTTCATGTAATCTATGATTAACTAAACCAATATCGAATACGATATAAGCTTTCTACTCTATAAAATTTGTAAAATAAGGTATTTGTAGCTATTTTGAAATTTTAATAAACTATAAAAGATAAACACGCATGTTATCATACTGTTTTCTATAAGGTAAAAACTAAGAAGGGAAACATATCCAACTGTTAATCGCTGACCGAAATCATATTTTGCTCTTGACTAGGGCTCATGTCAAAAAGGCCTGGAAGCATTTCTCTCCATAAACTTTTTCAATATGTTATCACCGTTTTATCGGATTATCGGCTTATGACAAGGTATTCATAAAAAAGAAACAAACAAAGAATTTTCATTTTGATATTTGCCCATAAATAGATCTCTTAAAAAAAATCATAAAGCTAACTTTTCTTTAATATTCAATAAGTCAAGAAGGAATCTTCTGCTTTGGCTAAAACTTTAAACAATTAGATAAAGCTTGTTGCGTTCTAGAAAAATATGCATATTAAAAAATTTTTAAATCTTTTCTTTCAAATAAAACTTATGAGAAAAACTATCAAAATCAATATACAGCTTTGTACATTTCTTTTTCTATCGAGCAAACTTGCTAAATTTTTAAATAAAACTATCTTTTCCTTCTTTTATGTTTCTGTTGCTCTATAAACTTGCATGAATGATTTTTAGACTCATTATGTAAAACTACTTTTAAAGACATAGATTACTTCGTTTTTGTGCAAACAGTTCTACATAATAAGGTCTAGAAATAAACTGCAAACTCCTAGAGTAAAAGAAATATACAAGAAGGAAAAGATAGTTTTATTCAATAATTGAGTAAATTTATTCCATAGAAAAGAACTTGTGTCCTTTATATTAATTTGAATAGTTTTTCTCGTAGATTTTATTTCAGAGAAATGATTCGAAACTATTTAAATATACATATCCTTGTAGAACTTAACGAACTCTATCTAATTGAGTAAAAATATTGCAAAACAATTCTGGTTAATTTTTTTTATTACTAATACCTTTGACAACATTGCTGCTATTATAAAATAGATTGAGATTTTTGTTGGAAAACAAAAACAAAGCGTTAAGGAGAAAATAATCTTAGATTACTTGTTAACAACGTATTTATTTTCATTACTTAATTCAGTATTCTTATGTAAACCAATGGAATAATCTGAACTGTCAATATCAATAATTCATAATATTTGGATTTCTTAAAATGAGAAATAACATGATGGCAAACATGTTCATGACGGAAATTTATCATAATTTCTTCTATGAGAGTCTACGATTTAAAAATATCAGATGTCGCATAGGATCTCATTTTGACATTTTTTGGACTTGTGAAGTCAGCTGCCTTTTCTACTCAGGCATTATTCGAGTGACAGTTCAGTTCTTTTTTTCATTATTCATTTAAATATGAAGATCTTTGTTAGAAATAAAATATTTTCTATGTACGACATGTTCTGATATAAGAATTAAAACAATTTGGGATCGTTAGTTTTTACTATAGTGTTCTGCCCTTGAAAAATTCTCAGGACAATCCCTATCATTTTAGATAATGGAAGAAATGGATTTTTTATAGAATTCGAAAGTGTTGTGTAGGACTCTATTTATCAAACATTAAAATCCAAAAGCCAAATATGAAATGTTTACATAGTAAAACAAAAAGATCCATGAAGGCATATAATCATTTGGAAGAGAGAAGACACAACTACATCCATCGAGCTATTGTGAAAAGATGATTTGGAATGTATTTTAATGTGTTGTCGAAAAAAATTTACATTGATATATGGATGTTTGATTGTAGGTCGCACAATCTTGATGAAATCTTTTTTAGTGACAGAAAAAGTTAAAATCTCTATTGCTTTGGACATTGGAAGTGCTAAATAAGGTCAAAAAGTCAAATTAGAGCATAAGTAATAATCGTTCGTTTATCTTTCGTTAAATTAATAATGCTTCATGAATAGAAAAAAGAGGATTGATGATTATTATTTAAAAAAGAACTGATAGAGTACAGGATGTGTTTTTGAGTAAGGTAATCAGTTCGATCATCATTAATAAATAGAACATCGAATGAAAACAAACCTAATGAATACTGTTGTATAAAATAATCACAATGCTATTATTATTCTCAATTTTGCACATAATTTATTACAAATAATATCATTATGAAACCATTAGAAGCGTATTCATACTTTGACAATAGCATTATAGTTTACTTTAAACATTTACTGCTAACAGAGAAGTATGGCAATCCTTGAGGAATATTTTATTAATGCTAATTGAATATAAGTAAAAGCAAAATTGAAAAAATGGCTATTAAATCTTATTTTTGCATGAGATTTATGATGATTATTCACAACTAATTATTCTCAAAAACTGAGTTTCTCATTTTATCTTTTAAATAGACGCATCACCAATTCTATTTCAACTAGGATAACATCAAATGAAATAGTTACTATTCTTAATTATTACGTTATGATAGGCAAACACAGAAAGTGAAAATAGTAATGAGAAGTCGCCAAGATAGAATAGTTTTAAACATTCATATTTTTATTGCGCCACTGTGGGCGGCTAGAAAACTATCATTGTTATCATCAAACACACTCTGATTCACAAATCCATGGTCTTTGAGGGTGCATGAAGCCAACATCGATTGCATTTAAGTTTTCTTTTGAAATTTTTGGCATTTTTCTTTTTTAGACTTCTTTTTGCTATGATAATTCAGTTGTCGATATTTTTCCATTCATTCATTATTATGATAATCAAAGCTACTTGAGTTTATTAGCATGCAACTATTAGATACTTATCCAACACATTCACTGAATTGGCGTATAATATGTTATTATATTTTCTATACATACATGCATTGCTATTTCTATATGTTCATCTTTCATGAACCTAATAATAAGAAGAAATTGTTTCAATTTTTTTAAGCATGAGTTATTTATTTCTAATTCATTTACTTCTAACATTTATACAAAGCGATGTAAAAAAAAAAACTCATTTTCACTGTTGTTTTAAACACACAATCATCATGAATCATGCATTTTGCGTATCATTATTGATATATATATATATATATATAGAAAAGAATCTAAATATATTGCAAACAAGAGATAGGAATGATTACATATATAAGTGTTGCACAATTATAAAAAAGCAAAGAAAGAAAACCTAATCAGTAGCATGGAATGATTGACTATTAAATGTAAAAATTGCGTTTTTAAAAAAGTTTTTTTTCATACGAATGTAAATTATGTACTCCACCTTCAAGTTGAGCTGACGCTGTACGTTTTTCAACTCTAATAATACCTTTACTACATTCATCATGTAATTGTTTAACTGATTGACAACCAATATCTTGAAGTGATTTTTGTACACCTGTATAAAGGTAACCACCAATAAATCGATGAACACTGCCTTTATCTACGACACTTCCTGCAACACCTTGTGCAACTTTAACATTATCTGTTTCGGAATAATATCGACTTGCAGCAGATAATTCTTGGCATGCGTTCATTGCGTCAAGACTACCCATACCACGATCTATTTATAAAAAAAAAAGAGAGCTATCAGCATAATCACCGACGGATTAAAATGTGAAACACACTGTAGTTGCAATTCACAGAGAGATTGTTTTATTCTATCTATTTTAAGACACATTTCTTCACCATCGTTTTAGTTAAGACTTCGGAAATGTAATAATTATGAAGAATGCTCGATAAGGTGGCAGAAGATGAGGGAATTTTCCTCTTAAAATATCTGACTTTCTGATAATTTTTAACAGCTTTATGGTAGCGTTGGACAGAAATCAAAGTTTGAAACATCATTAGCCTTTCTCTACCAGAAAGAGAAATAAAAATAAGGAGACAAAATATCATTGGGAGATGAATAGGATTGGAAGGAACGATCTATGAACAGGTCATCTGCTGTCAGAGGATTTGGATGATTTCCTTTCCACTCCTCCCTTCATAGTGAAATACTTGAAAGCATGATGTTTTATGGAAACTTGCTGTGCAGTCCAGGAATGTTTGCATTAACCGGGATTAAAAGCAATAG